TTCATTGTGACCCGAGGCTCAGCAAGGGTGATTGGAGTCATCGAGGCTGAGCTTCTTCAGTCTTCAGCCAGTTTCAACATGGCCAGTGGTCATGGCCTGGAAGGGCGGCCCCCCCACGCTGAGGCGTAGAAGGCCCGCCACTTTTCCAGGGCTGTCACTCTTCCAGTGACCATTTTGACCGCACGCTGGGCAGGGCTTGCCTGGAGCCCGGGACCGGGGGCACTGCTTTGCCCAGTGGCCTTCATCTCCGCATTTGAAGCATTCTCCGGTAGCGGCGTTCCTTTCGTTGCACCCCCACCGCTCACAGCCCCCTTGGGGCCGTGGCGGCTGCCGTCAACCACAGGGCCACTAAGGCGTGTCTGCAGGTCCACCTTCTGTGGAAGGCAGGCTTGCCATTCTGACTGTGCCTGCTCCTCACGGGCATTAAGAACTTTCAAGGCCATTGTTTCACTTGATCTCGGACCTGGGTTTGAGGACTAAGAAAGACCTTTAAGGTCGGGTTTAGAGAGTGGGGGCATAGATTCAGACTATGCCCTCAGTCCCTGCTGCTTCCCTCAGGGGTAGAATGGGCGCAGGAATGGAAGAGGCTGTTCTGGAGCTAACGTTCTCAGGATTTGGGCTCTAGGGGAGAAGAAAGCTGCTGGTTAAAAGGGTCTGAAGAGAGCCCAGCTGCAACCTCTTGCAAAGGGAACTGGCCGGCCATCTGTGAATTTAAAGTGCTGGCAGTCATGGGGGCAGAGATTCGGCAGAGCCCACAGTGGAAGGCGGGCAGTTAGAACTTAGAGAGGGCACTGCGTGGGGTACAGGTTACTAAGGCAGGCCTGTAAGGGGAGGGGAGAGCGCAGGAGAGGTGGCCTGGGTGGGCGTGGGAGAGGCACTGGAATTCTTTGATGCACACAGTGGGGTTGGCGGAGAAAGACACCAGGTGCTTCTCAATTGCGGTTTAAAGTCGCAACCTCCCAGGGGCGGGGCAGAACGAAGGCTCAGGGACAGAAGGAAGGTGGAGCCTGTGGACGCCTGTGTGCCTACTGGGGAGGCAGGCAGGGGAGGGACGGCAGGGGACTTGAGTTTCCGGCTACCGCAACGGCTACGGCGTTAGCAGCGGCGGTGGGGGCAGAGCAGGCAGACGGACAGACCTCGCGGCGGTGGAACCGGGAATGGGGCACAATGCTCGCGGCGGCGGCGTGCAGGGGCATGGGGTTGTAAAAGGCAGTTTGAGTTTCAGGCCGCTGCGGGGCGGGCGGAAGAGGGGAGGCGGGATCAGGAGGCGGTGGAGAAGGCGTGGCTGGAGGAGAGTCCAGCAGGGAGGGAGGAGGGGAGAGTGTGGACAGACTGGGGCTTATGCCGGCGGGAGAGCGGGCGGCTTTTGCTAGGGGAGTTGGGGGGAGTTCTCCGGTGGAGGGGGTGGGGGGACGCGGAGACGATGGCGGTGCCGTCGCCGCGCCCCACACACAGCACATGAACCCACCCCCACACGCACCGCACACACCGCGGGCTCGGTGGTGCACGGTGGGGGAAGCGTAGGGACAGCCCGGAGGGAGGGGGACGGACAGAGCGAGGAGAGATGGCGGAAAGAACTTTGGGGGAGGGACGGGGACGCAGGAGAGATGGAGAGAGGCTGAGAGAGAGAGACTGAGAGAGAGAGATGTGGTCACATTTCCCAGTTTGCTGGCAGAAATTACTGAGATCGGTGCGACGGTAAAGTCAGGGTCCCGTTTTCAGACTGAGGCCATGCTACGTTACAGAAAAAGGACGCAGGTCCTGGACAGGCCCCGTGTTTAGCCAGATCAGCGAGCCGGCACCCTAGAGGTGTGCTCAGGTCAGGTTTAGAATTTGGATTCCCCGTGCTCGATACCCGTGGCCTGTAGCGGGGCTAAAGGCTGGCGTCCCAGCGGTTTAACCCACGCTACGGACGGACGGACGGACAGACGGATGGACGGAGGGACCGTGGGTGGGGCAGAGACATCTCCCTGCCTTCCCAGGTCTGAAGGAGCCTTCCTGGAAGGGTCTGGAAAGGGCAATCCCTGACGCGGCCACGTTTTACGGACAGAGATGCCCTCGGGCGGGCAGCCACATGGGACCAGCACGGGGGCGGGGCAAGACTCACCGATGATGCTGCCAAACTGGTAAAAGTTGCTGAGCTGAAGAGATGAGGTCCTGATGGGTCCAGAGCCACGAGGAGGGAGAGGCGGGCACCCCGAGCCGCAGAGGGACGGCCAAATGGAGTGCTCGCGCCACCCGGGTTTCAAGGCACCAAATGTTAGGTTAGGTGGCTCAGGAGGCGGCGCAAGAAATAGAGAGTCCAGTGAATCAGAAAAGAAAGGAAAGGAAAAGGTTTATTTCTGCGTCTCCGGGAGACCCACGTACCCCCAAAGACAGGGCACGTGGATTCACGCCAACATGGAGGGGGGCGCTTTTTTTATACTGCGGTTGGGTGAGGGGCGGGGACATGAGCTGAGGTATTCAGTCGAGGAAGTTCCCGCTGCAGGAGCAATACCTGCAAGGTATTCAGGAATGAGTCAGCATCTGTGTGGGGGTATGTGGATTCAGGGAGAAGAAGCCGGTATCTGTGTCTGGCACGTTGATCTGTGAGAAATTCCAGGGGGAGTCCATTGTCTCATCACATGTCTGCATGTATCCGATCCTGGGCTCTCTCCGACCTAACAAGGACGATGCTCTAACCACTGACCAATGACGGCCAGGGATACATGTCCATATTTTATATTTTTTTAATTTACAGTAATTTAATGTCTGAGAATTTTTACTGTTTGCAAAGCTAAATTTTCAATGATAATGAAAAATTAAGCAACCATTATTGCCTACATGGACTTGTATTAATTTTTTTTTTAATTTAGGCAACCAAAGATCCCTGCATTATGGCCATTTTAAGATGAGATTTCTAGTGAAATCACCTTATTTCTGTAAAGTGCTTGCCAGTAATAGGATTCCTATCAGGAATATTATTGAAGGCTGGGGTCTGGGAGTTTCCAGCCTTGGAGGCACCATTTCCCATGTAAATTGTAGTGGGGTTCTTTGAACTTTGGCAGTCTGAGCAAATTCTCTAGGGCGGCTATGTAGTGGGTCCGAGTGTGCAGCTTACAGGTTGAGCTCTTCGAGGCTCTCAGCCCTTGAGTGGTATTCAACCCTCTTCTGTGCCTCGGTTTCTCTCCTCAGCTGCCTAATACAGCCGTGAGGGCTGGGAGCACTAGGTGACCAACCTTTATAATGCGCGTCCCTGGATGAGTCAATTTCTTCATTAGAGCTGAGTTGGAGGTTCCCTGTGGAGCCCTTACAGGTCATGAGGAATGACCTCTGACACCTCCACCAAGATTTTTAGTTTCCTAAGAGCATGAGACATTCAGGCTGGAGAGAGGACCTGCCCCTTATCTTAGGAGCTGAACTACTTCAGCTCTCATTTACACAGCAAAGGCATTTGTTCAAACTCTCAGAAAACAATGCAAATTGAAAAGCCAAATTTAAAAACCAGGCAGCCAATTTTTCCTGTCTCACCTCATAGCCTAGGTTCTGATAACCTCTAACCTTGTCAGGTTAGCAAGTGGCCTGTTTTCATCCACAGAGTGAAACAAAGGAAGGGATTACAATAGAAGAGACAAGATCAAGGGGCCCTTGGAGACAGGTTCAGGGAGCTAGCCGGACGAGGTGCCACTGCCCACTGCTCCCCCATTGCAAGTCTCACAGGGACAGGGACCTTTAGAGCTTAGAAGAAACAAAGTTGCTGAAACCGGTTTGGCTCAGTGGATAGAGCATCGGCCTGCGGACTGAAAGGTCCCAGGTTCGATTCCGGTCAAGGTCATGTACTTGGGTTGCGGGCACATCCCCAGTAGGAGATGTGCAGGAGGCGGCTGATCGATGTTTCTCTCTCATCAATGTTTCTAACTCTCTATCTCTCTCCCTTCCTCTCTGTAAAAAATCAATAAAATATATATTTAAAAAAAAAGAAACAAAGTAAAAACAGGAAATAAGAGAAGGGAAGACACAGGAGTGAGGAACAACGCACACCTTTGTTTTAAGGGTTTTACCTGTTTTATTTATTTGGGTTTTTAAATACAGTTTTATTGATTTCAGAGATAGGAAAACAGAGGGAAAAAGAGAGAAACATCCACGTGAGAGGTATATCAATCACAAACGGTGAGATTCATCAGTTGCCTTTTGTTGAACCCACAACCTGGGCATGTATCCAGACCTGGAATTGAACAGGTGACCTTTTGATGCATGGGACGATGCTCAACCAAGTTAGTCACAATGGGTAGGGCAAAGGTTTTACCTGTTTTGGTTTTGTTTTGTTTTGTTTTTTAATCCTCACCCAAGGATATTTTTTCATTGCTTTTTAGAGAGAATGGAAGAGAGAGGGAAAAACAGAGAGAAATATCGATGTGAGAGAAACACATTGATTAGTTGCCTCCTACACAAGCCCCGACCAGGGCCCGGGCCAGGGAGGAGCCTGCAACCGAGGTACGTGCCCTTGACCGGAATCAAACCCGGGACCCTTCAGTCCACAAGCTGATGCTCTATCCACTGAGTCAAACGGACCAGGGCAAGATTTTACCTGGGTTTTAAAGGTGACAATTTTAGGGGAGGTCTCAATGGAATATCTCAATAGAATATTTATCAACTCTCCAAGTCTGTCCTTTGATATGCTGATGCATTACAAACAGCATAAACAGTGATAAGAGTCATTCTCTGATCAGTTTCATCTTTAAAAATGTCACTGGAAAGGGATCTGAACCAAGGTGGATCTGCCCAGACATGGTCTGGAACATGTACCCCATTTGCTTCTAAGCATCCTAGCATAGGGAAGATACGTTTTTGTGATTTATTAGTTGTGCCTATAAATTACTAGGCCCTGTTAGAGTCTCAGATTTTCCATTCCACTTGCCAAGGACTTTTCCTAGCTTTTTCATAACCAGCCACAACTCGATAAACTTGGGAACTCTTATTAGTGTTGAATTCAACGCAATGACCATCAGTGGACAGACACTAGATGCCATAGCCATAATCAGGACCCCAGACACACACCCTGCACTCCAGAACCTGGACCCTATAGAGAACCACACACCAAAACCTGGATGCCCCAACCCTGGGACTCAAACTCAAACGATTCCCCCAATTCAAACATGCTATGCAGCACAAAAGCCAGAAACTGATACCAAAGACTGACAGAGGATTCTGAACAAGAGATTCCACACACCGGCATCTGAATCTATAGTTGCACTCGGACTCCACACAAGAACCCAGGACACAAAGCCACACCCAAAGAGACCCAAAACCCCAGACACACACCTGAATACATATTTGACCCAAAACCACAGACCCTGGATGTATAGCAGAGATCTATGACTAAGACGCATTAGCCACAAGCCAGAGTTGGACACACACACCAGACCTCAGTTGCCAAATGCCAGATGCATGAACTGAACCAGATCCTCATGTTGCACAAAAACCCATGATTCAATAAAGAGAACCCATGTCACTCTAAGTCCAAGCAGCTAGTTTCACAAATACTTTTTTTTCATGCCAATGTCAATGTATAAGAGAAAAAAATAATTCCAGAATTTCAAAATCCTACCAAACCCTGCAGTGTCACACACATAAGGTTAACAGAATGGAAAAGTAATGATACTGCTTACCTTTGCTGGCAGGTGTCCATGATCTCTCGGCTTCAGCGGTGTCAGAAGTTAGCTGTGTCCCAGCCAATAATTACACAAGGCCGGCTCTTCAAAACTGTGGGAGATTTAAAAAGCAATTATTTGCCTCATACCTCGCACATTCTAACAGCTGGGCTATAACCAAATTAACATGATCAAATTTACAAGAGATGCACTACATCTAATACATGCCCAAGGAAAACTCACATACAAATGAATGCCAAAGACAAGAAGGCAATATTACAAACAGGAAATGTTGGAAAATGGGGAACCAGAGTCTTAGACTGTGGAGGTGAAATGGGTGATATTTAGGAAAACTGCAGGATATGTGGTATGTTAATTTCTGTTAGATGATCTCAAAAACTAGAGGATGGGAAGAAGGGGTAAGATATGAGTATCAAGAAGCTCCTGGTAGCCTGGCCAGTGTGACTCAGTGGTGAGCATTGACCCATGACCCAGGAAATCATGTTCGATTCCCAGTCAGGACACATGCCCAGGTTGTGGGCTCTATCTCCACTAGGAGGTATGCAGGAGGCAGCTGATCCATGATCGTCTCTCATCATGGATATTTCTCTCTCTCTTTCCCTCTCCCTTCCTCCCTGAAATCAATACAAATATATTTGAAAATAATAAAGGAAACATCTGAAAAAGCAAATGAATGAATAACAGCTACCCTGACCAGATAGAAAAATATATTGTGTTATAAAGCTACAGTAATTTAAAAACTTGGGTAATGTCCTGTGAAGAGAAAAGTTGATGGAACAGAATGCAAAGCCAAGTAATAGACTAAAATACATATGGAAATTTGGTGTGATAACAACATCTCCTTAGATCAGTGGAAAACAGTGTTGGAACAACTGAATGGGAGAAAATGTTGAAACAGAAGCAACTCATTTCACTCATAACTACTATAAAAACTAAAAGCTACCTAAAACATAAGGGTACAAAGAGATCAAAAGTGAAAGAATGGAAAAAGATATATTAAGCAAACATAAACCCAATAAAAAGTATACGATAACACACAAGTCTTAAAGGCAAAAGCTTAACTATAACTAAAGAAGATCACTTTGGATCAATAACTTCATTTTACCAGGAAGATCCAAATTCCCAAGCACTTCATAACATGGAATCAAAGTACAGGGAAGAGAGCTACAAGGGGAACTAGACAATTTTAGAATCATAATAAATTTAAAACCATAATACATATAACACACCTCTCTCATTCTGAGACAGAGCATACCTCTTTCAGAACCAATAGCCCCCCACAAAGACCCCAGGAAAGATGTAAACACTTCAACAACCTGAGCAGCAAACTGTAGTCAAGGTTCTGAGACCCACTGTACCCAACAACCTTACCTGCTGAAAGGCACGAAGGTGTTATTCCCAAGTTGCACACGAGGTGGCAGCAGAGGGGCACACTTCAATTATAGTTGATGAGACCACGCAGTGCTATGAAGCAAGTTTCAACAAACTTCAAAGAAATGAAATTATATACGGTACGTTTCTTGTTGTCATTGCAGTTAATCTACAAATCAGGAACAGAAGGCACCTAGAAACTCCTAATATTTAAGATTTATCAAATACACTTCTAAATAACCCCCAAAATACATCACAATTCAAGTTAGAAAATAATTTGAAGTAAATGATAACAGTACATACCAAAACGTATGGTGAAAAATGTGCACTCATTTATGCACATATTAGGAATAAAAGCTGAAAATTTACATGTTTTGCATCCGTATCAGAAACCTAGCCTGTCCACTGTAGCTCAGTGGTTGAGCATTGACCTGTGAACCAGGAGGTCACAGTTTGATTCCAAGGCACATGCCGGGGTGGTGGGCTCCATCCCCAGTGGGGGGCCTGCAGGAGGCAGCCGATCCATGATTCTCTCTCATCATAGATGTTTCTTTCTCGCTTCCTCTCTGAAATGTATATACCTAAAACAGTAAAATAAATGGAGAGAAAACAGAACAAAGAAAATGTGTGCATGTATAGATGTCTGAAGGGGGATATACTTAAACCCATAGCAAGGTGTTTTTTTTACTCTTGGGGTAGAATTTTTAATTAATTTTATTTTTTCTTTATTATTTAAGTAAACTGCAACAAACAAAGGCATTTTCATTTTAGGAGAAAGTGTTCTAGAGGAAAACATGGGATAATCTATAATAATAAAAGCATAATATGCAAATCGACTGAATGAACAAACAGCAGAATGACCGTCCAGACAACCTTCCGGACAACCACGCTATGACACGCACTGGCGCCAGGCCAGCCAAGGCAGGAGCAATACGATTGGTTTGGGGGCCCCACCATTGCCCCACAATCACCCTGCAGAGGGAGGCCCCAGCCCCCGGCCGGCAGGAAGATGATGGGGGGTGAGGTGGGGGTGGGGCTCCATGGTCACTCCAAAGAGGGAGGCCCAGGCCAGCCAAGCCATTGCTCCCCACACCTGTCACCCGCAGAGGGAGGCGACAAGTGGCGGGGGAGGGGGGCAGCACAGAACAGATGGCAAGCAATGGCAGCGGCAGGGGTGGGGCCAGCTGCCAGCAGCCCAGCAGCCGGGGAAGGAAAGTACCGAAAGGTCCTGATCGCTGGCCAGGCCTAGGGACCCTACCCAAGGGGTCCCGGATTGCAAGAGGGCGCAGGCCAGGCTGAAGGACACACACCCCCAGCACGAATTTCATGCACCAGGCCTCTAGTCCTATCCTATCTAATAATAGCCAAACATGGTAATTGACCGTACCTTTGCTACACCTCCCATTGGCTAATCAGTGAGATATGCAAAATAACCGCCAACAAAGATGGCGGCTAATTTGCATACTGCTGGCAGGGCCGCATGAGCCGCCAGCGCAAGCCACCATCCAGCCCCCCGTGGGCGATGCCAGAAGCCACCTGCCTGCCTCTCGGGACCCGATCCAGTCCCGGGCCGCAGGCACACCAGCCCCGCAAGCCCCAGGAGCCACCTGCCTGCCACCCTGGAAGCCCCAGAAGCCGCCAGATATGGCAGTCACTCTATCAGTAAGCACTCTGAAAGTCAGTGGCATAAATGCACCAATTAAAAGACAGATTATGAGGGTGAATCAAAAACAAAACCCACTTTAAATATAAAGACACTTATACATTAAAAGTAAATGAATTAAGCTGCAGCCTGCTTTGCTCAGTGGATAGAGCATTAGCCCTTGAACTGAAGGGTCCGAGGTTAGATACCAGTCAAGGGCATGTACCTCAGTTGCTGGCTTGATCCCCAGTCCCTATCAGAGCATGTGCAGGAGGCAACCAATCAATGTGTCTCTCCCTTTCCCTTCATTCTCTCTAAAATTCAATGGAAAAATATCCTTGGGTGAAGATTAACAAAAACAAAGTAAATGGATTAAGTAACATTAAAGAGATTATGAGAAAAATATATTCCAAATTTTGTTAGTTGGATAATGGTTATGTTTAAATTATTAACACCTAAGAAATTGGGTGAAGGGTGCATATAATATGCTGTAGTATTTTATAGTTTTTTTACATGTATGAGATTATTTCAAATTAAAATATTAGAAAATTAAAAATAAAATATTAATTGAAATGTATCTGCATTACATGAAAAATCTCCTAATTGCTTCTAGCATAATTTATTAAATTGTGCTAAAATTTACAAGGGTTCAATTAAAAAATATCTTGATTCTAAATGATATAAAATATATAATAGTGCAGTTATAAGCACTTATCTGAAAATAAAAATTTAAAGAAGTGAATTTAAAGAAGGGATTAGCCAAAGAAAATATATGCACAACCCATGGACATACACAACAGTATGGTGATGGCCAGAGAGAAGTGGGGGGCAAGAGCTGGGTAGAGGGGGCAAAAGGGGAGAAATAGAGACATCCTATCCTATCTAATAATAGACAAACATGGTAATTGACCATACCTTCGCTACACTTCCCATTGGCTAATCAGGGCGATATGCAAATTAACTGCCAACAAAGATGGCGGTTAATTTGCATATGTAGGCACAATGCTGGGAGGCGAAAGGGGAAGGACGGAAGAAGCCGCCTGTCGCTGATGGTAATCGGAAACCCAGGCGGCAAGCAAGAGCCAGGTGGCAGGGCCACCTCTGCCCTGCCCTGGCCCGTGATCGGAGAACCGGGGCCGCCTTTGCCTGCCCCCCGGCCGGTGTTCGGAGAAGTACCTGTATTTTTAATAATTTCTTGACATGGTAAAAGAATTTTACATTATGATCCAAGGGTGGTGGGGTGAGAAGGAGCGGCAGAACAATCCAACAAACAAAAAGGGAAACAGAAATGCATGGTGGAAGGGATTTGAAGGGTGGGTAGGGGCATTGCCCAATTAAAATGCAATTGGTTTGTTACTGAGTACTATTCATGGGAAGACAGCATCCTGACTCCTTCTCTATACAGCATACTGGGAGTAATAATGATGCATCCAGGTGGAAATATGATTAGGGGTTGGAAGACAGACAGGGAAAGAAGAGGGAACCTATTTCCTTGGCCACAGGTGCTGGCGCCCTGGACCACAGGGCTGGCAGCTTCTCCAGGTGGCTGCAGCCTGGGACCTCGGGCAGGTGGCTTGTCCGTCTCCTGGGCTGCAGCCAGCCGCAGGCACTGGCGCCTGGACCAAAGGTGGGCGGCTTCTTCTTCTGGTGGCTTCTTCTTCTTCTGTGCTTCCAGGGAGGGCAGTCAGTTATGTGTATATGTGTGTGCATGTAAACATAGGCGTGTACACATGTATATGTGGAAATCTGCTGGGCAAGTCAAAACCATAGAAGAGTTGCCCCTATCTCTTAAATCTTCTAGAGATATCCCCCACTTTTTTATTCTATCACTACTGGAGAGTCAGTATTTGCAGCCAGCCAGCCAGGGACTCTCTCAATGTCTATTTCTGACTTCTTCTTTCCCTGTCTGTCTTCCAACCCCAATCATATTTCCACCTGGATGCATCATTATTACTCCCAGCACCTGTGGCCAAGGAAATAGGTTCCCTCTTCTCCTACTGCAGTCATTACTTCAATATTCCCCTTCTGAATTCCCCCCCCCCCCAGAACAAATTTTTGTGCACTGGGCCTCTAGTTTATAAATAATAAGCTAGACTGTTGTGGTGGCAACACAAGTCTTTCCTTTGCTCACCATGCTTGGCCTCTTCGTCTAAAAAGAATAGAAGCTCTTTCTAATTGTTTAGCCCAAAGTGGCTCCTTTCATAATCTGCACCTCTTTGTGTGCAATTCCAGCAGTTCTGAGAGGGAACTCCTAAGCTTTGGGTCCCTGGAATTCACCTGAGCCTGGCTCTAACATCTACAAGTGATGTTCTTTTGAACACAGAACAGACCTCTCAGGGTTGTCATTCTTTAAATTGTAAAATTCACACACACATGCTTTTTCTTGTTAATCCTCACCCAAGGATATTTTCTTCATTGATCTTTTAGAGAGAGTGGAAGGGAGGGAGGGAGGGAGAGAAACATCCACGTGAAGGAGACACATCAGTTGCCTGCCTCCCATACTCGCAGGGGATCAAACCTGCAACCCAGACACATGCCCGTGACTGGGACTCAAACCCAAGACCCTTCGGGATGGGGCTGATGCTCTAACCACTGACCTACACCGGCCAGGCCGAATCCCCATTTTATAGCTTTAACATTCGTTGCTGACAGACCGAGCCTCAACGCCTGGGCTCTGCCTCCAGAGAGCCTGCAGGGTGGGAGCGCAGCTCAGTGGACTGACAGGGAGGCGGCGCTCCGGGTGCTGGTTCAGCCGCAGGACGTGCTCGTGAAAAGTGGTCCCACAGGAAAGGCTCACTGATGTCCACCTGCCTCTCGAGTCAGGAAAAGTCCTGCTGGTCGTCCTGTATCTGTGACCTGCTGTTTGTCCCGTGTCCCAAAACCAGCTATTTTACGAGGTGTGTTGATGCAACTGATCTAAGGAGACATCTGTATCTGATACAATTTACTGATGGTTTGGGGTCATTTACTAACACTTTATGCTGTTCCATTAATTTTCACACAAGTTAATGCGAACAGCAATGAGGTAATATTTGGAACACAAATGATTTGGGAAACGGGGAGGCAGGGTGATATTTAGGAAAAGCACAGCACACTCGGCAGGTTGTGTTTATACGAAAACCCAAACCAATGGGACGTGGACGGGTGGGGGCCCGCAGGCTCCTGTCTGCACCTTAAGGTCTGAAGCTGAGGCCATTGGGCTCACGCTCCCTCCTGACACCAGGCGTCGCCATGGAAACCTCTTAGGAAGAAACTACATCAACATGCACGAGGCACAGCTGTGTCCTTTTTAGTCCGACCTTTGGACGGTAAATAAAAGCTTCACACCCAGAAGCTTAAACTATCTACATATGTTCCCCCTTTAATCCTCACTGATTTCAGCGGATGAGGAGGAGCTGGAGAAACCCGGACCCGCCGGGACCTGGGATCACAGCCAACACTGTTTGCGTCCAGGACCAACCGAGTCCCGGGGCCATGTTGTTGCAGCTGAAACGCGTCTCCGTTCCTCAGAGACCGTCCTTCAAGCCGCGGACAGTGACACCCAGAGGCTCCGCGCAGAAGAAGCCACAAGCCGCCTCCCCTGGGGCCCCGTGTCACACCTCACACCCGGAGGCCTCTCCTCACGCCTCACACCCCTGTGCCCCCCTCACCTCGTGCCCCTCTCCTCATGGCCTCCGCGGGCTCACCTCAGCCTCAGCCTCAGCCTCGTGCCCGCCGGCCTCTCCTTGAGCCGCTGGCCTCACCT